TAGCCCTTTGTCGATGAGATCCAATATTTCTTTCTTTAGTGCATAGCAATCTTTGGTAGCATGCCCCTTATCCTTATAGAACTCCCAATAGTCGAGGTGTCTCCGGGAACGGTTTTCTGGGAACCTCTTTCTGGGTGGGGGCCACTTGACGGCAGTCGCGGTGGTCTTCAGGACCTCAATCATCACCATCGGGGTGGCGTTTCACTTGAGTTCGTCGAACGCTATTTTGATATGGGTCGCATCGCCTTATGCTGGGTTGGAAGACTTCCTCCTGCCCCTGGAGAGTTGCAGGCTTGGGGACCCGGAATACTCACTGGATGACCTGGCAGCGTAGCCGCCTCTTTTGTTTGGGTATCCCTCGGAGGGTTCCTCTCGGTCTCTCTGTGGCCTTGGGGGCACGGCGTCGCGGCAATTATATGGTCCAGATCGCTCTCCCACCAGATTTGCCTATGTGCGTAGTTCAAGACGTCTTCCATGGAGCATTCGTTCTTGGTCAGGTCTTCATAGAGTCCGGAGCACTTCAGAAGTCCCTTCCTGAAGGCGTGCACCGCCGTGACTTCGTGGCAGCCGGGTATTTCCACCCTGATGGCTGCTCCTCCGCTCCTTGGTTCACATCAAACAGGTGCCTAATACCCTGGGCCGGTTTTGGGCTGCTGGCAAATTGTTGAACGACTAGGTTGTGCAGTTACGTAAAGGAGTCGATCGTCTTATTGGAGATGTTGATTAACCATTGTCGGGCAGGCCCCAAAAGTGTTGCACCGAAACCTTTGCACATGTATACTTCCCTGATGTACGCCAGGGGTGACACCGAGAATATCTTCTGTTTGTATTGAACGATGTGATCCTAGGGGTTAGTGATTCCTTCGTAAGATTTCATCGCTGGGTACCCGAATTTTTTGGGTACTTCGATGTTGGCGATGTCCTCCGTAGGGGGAGTCTTTGTACGATTCCTTCGTAGCTTGGGTTATCCGCGGAGGCAGCACTGGGATTATTGACAGTCGGGTGTTTATGTCTGCCATATGCTCTGCCATCCTCTGGGCGATGAGTCGGTCTAGATCCATCGGCCCCGTGGCTCGATTATATGGCATCGTCTGAGGCTCTTTGTCCTTCGGCCTCAAAGTATAATTATTTATATAGACATAATTAGTTATATTATTTAAATGTTAACTAATTTTTTATACATTATGTAAATGTTATGTTTTTATACATATACTATTTTAGTGTTCAACAACAATCACACAAACGTTTCATATCGTTTTGTGTCTTTTGAAAACTTTATATTTTTCCTACAGTAACATATAATTGTAGATGTAAAAGTTATATTAAATAATAATTAAATTCTTATAATATATTTTGAATAATATCTACATAATACTTTCTTTTTCTCTTTACATAATATAATCTTGCTAATATATATATTTTAAGTATACATTTTTCCTTAACCTATTGCTAACTAAACCAAAATAAATTTTACCAAATTTATTTATCCTAAAAGCGGGTAGATAGTTGGTCAGCACATTTGTGCATACCAACCAACTCACTATTCTTATGACATATAAAGATTTTTTAAAAGATATAAATTTTCTAACGACTAAATAAAGTTAGAGTGTAATCGATGTTAACAAATGTATGCATAATAAGTTTGCATGTGAATTTGACTTTTGCACAATTAATCTTTAAACTCATATTTGTAAAAAAAATCAAAGTATGGTTTTTATATGTTAAAAAAAATAACAAAGTATATATTTTGTAATCTATATTTTTATAATGTATGGTTGATTTTAAAAAAAAAAGTATTATTATATTTATGCATGTAGGTATGAGTTAGAAATAAGTGAATTTTAATATTTAGGTGTTGGTAAGTTTTTCTGGTATTTTTCGCAAATGTTATGTTTTTACACGATACAGTTATTTGCGTTTAACAACAATCACGAAAACCATTTCAATCGTTTTGTATATAATCAAAATTTCTTATTTCCCAGCATTTGAGGATATATGATTTCTCTAGAAAACATATTTATTATAAAATTTGTGAAATCAAATTTTATAAAATTTATAAAATCATATTTTATAAAATTTATAAAATTATATTTTATAAAATTCTCTGGTAGCTCTCCACTCATCTCTTCGTAAAAAATATTATAATCTGCAATCGTTCGCATCTACAAACTCTCTGTAACCAAATCATTTAAATCAATCGGATCTAAACTTATATGTGTATGAGTTAAAGTGTAAAATAATATATTTAATATTTGATTGTTATATTAAAAATTAAGAATTGATTCGTTCCTAACTTTAGTATATTTGTTAATATAAAATATAATGAATCACAACATATATGTAACTTGATTCATGAAATAATGTTTTAATATGTTAGAAAAAATATATGCATGAAAGAATTAATATGTGTAAGATAATATTTTTACATATTTCAAATAAAAACTTAAAATCGGTCAAACATATTCTTATTTATTTTTTGTCTTCTTTAACTCATACTTTTTTTTAATATTTAATAATATATTAAATATTAAAATCATCTCCAATGTATTTTTCTATTTTTTCTCTAAAATATAAGTGGACTTCTCTCCAACCTATTTCTATTTTACAGAGAAAAAAGAAAGATTGTTTTTTTCTCTATAATTGGAGGAAAAAAACAACAACCTTTCTTTTTCCTCTAAATTAGAAGATTTAAAATAAAGGTGAGTTGGAGATGCTTTAAACCAAAAATATAGTCTGAAATTTTTACATAAAACCAAAGTCGTAAAAATTTATTTTTAATTTTACTTATACTTTTTATTTATATATACAATATTATAATAAAAAAAGTTAGCTAAGAAGATACTTATAATTTATTTTTTTACCTGTTTATTTTTTTATTTCATTTATAATTTTGAATTCTTGCTATATAATGAGAATTCGTTCATATATGATATAAACTATTTTTCTTATTTAAATCTAAGATTTATTTAGTTTTAATTTAACCAATCAAAATATTTTATTTATATTAGGAAATTTGTCATATCACATTTATGAGGTGGCATTGTTGTGTGTTGACACATAAGATTTTTTAGTAAACCTATTTCTCAAATAATAGTTAGGATATATTCACATTTAATATAAACTTTTGTTCTTTATCTATAATAGGATAAGATAAGATGATAATAAAAATGAAGGAATTATCCTTCTAAAATTCTGATTCCACAATTTTCATCCAAACACTTGAAATTGTATATTTTGACAAAAACTTATTTAAAATAAAAGAAGATTTCAAAAATTTTCCATCAAAACTAGTGTATTGTTTAGTTTCTAAATTTCTTTTCTTTTTTGTTCCTTTAGACTTTGCCACGTGTATTGTTTAGTTTACAAATTTCCTTTCTTTTTTGTTCCTTTAGACTTTTAGTAATAGTGATTACTGTTTACTGATTAGTCTATAGTACTATTCAACTTGGTTATGAATTTACAGCTAATAATAAGAAAATCAATCAATGTCCTTTTCAAAAATATTTTTAAAATAAAACAAAATTAGTTATTAGTCCGATTAAACACCATCATACATGTTATTTCAGGAAAAAAGTTTATTTTAGAAACAAGAGGAAAATTATAATTCCGGTAATACTCGTTCACAACTATCGCTTTCATTAAAGTAAATAAACACTTCTGTTTATATATATTGGGTAACATATCCCTTCATTGTAAAAACATTTGGTAATGCCAAGCGAAACACTGTTACAATGCTATGGATGAATTCGAATTACATATAAATCTGTAATTTCAAGTTAGCCAAGATGTTTATAGTTTTATATTTCGGTTTAATATGAATAATTTCTTGATTTACTTAATTTAGTGGTTTATCTGTACTTTGTTACATAAACCACTAAGTGCTTATTTTATTTAGTGATTTTAAACTCCATCAAATGTTCCTAAATATTTGGGTTTAATATGAAGCTTTTTTCCTTCTAGATTTTTGCAAGGAATTGGTTTTGAATTGTGTTATTTCAGAAGTTTTGAACTCAAAAGGATTTTGTTTTGCTTGTCTGTACTTGTTTTTTTTTCTAGGAACAGTTGATGGAGTTTGAAATCATGGAGATTTCCCTAGACTTGATATGGTTCCAAAGGCCATTGCAACTAAGTTTCAAGATATAATTCATTGCTAACCTGTCTGTTTTTTAAGAATTGTAAAGACAGAACAAAAAAAAGCAGATGTCTATTTGTTGGATACTTGGATCACCCTCTTTTCTCACACCGTTCCACTTCTTTGGATCTCATTAGTCTTGGTGGTGCTTCACCTACGGTTTTTATCCGGACAAAGGAAACATCTTAATTTAGAAAGTCACTCATCATTGCTAATTCGAGTACAATATATACAACTAATACCATTTTAAGCTTTATGAATCAATCAATAAATTGGTTAACACATCAAATTAATAATTGATACTAAAACTGAACATACTTTGAACTTTTTTTTTACAATTTGTTTAGGCAACTTTGAAACTAATAGTAGCATTTAATACTTTAGATGTAATCAATATATTGAAAACGTATAATATAAAACCAGAATTATTCAGATCTCTATATGCACACACAAATTATTATTCAGATTTCTGATGACTTTTCACAAAATCACAAAATAAGAATATTTTTATTTAAAAAAACGAAATTAAAAACAAAAACAAATTGGGTGAGAATCTCCGATATAGTCTTTGTTTCTTCTTGCACACACTAAAATGGTCCTTGTCCAAATTTTTTTATTTTGTCTCTTGATTATTTAAAAGTTTTAATTAAGAGCTCCTAATCTGAGATTATTGAATATATTTTTTATAAATCTATTTTGGGTTGATAAGTATGATTGTCAAAAGGTGATATTTTCTGTAAATAGGTAGTACATTTTGTTGCATGTATTGTTTTAAAATTATGATATATAATATTATCAAATAAAAATAAAAGGATTTTTTTTTCTTAAATCCGTAACATTTTGCAAATAATATTTTACAATTTGGCTATTTATGATATAGTTTGAAGACATAAGACATTTTGTCAATTATTCAAGTCACAGATGCAATAAAAATAATCATTATCTATAGAAATTTTATTTTTATTTAAATATGAAATTTAACAAGTTTACAAATATATCAACTATTTTATTAATATATTTATCTGTTTATGTTTCTCATTCTTATGGTCTTCTTCCTGCCATTTTTCCATATAAACCATGTCAGTTTCTCTATATAAATAACATAATATACATCCATATGAGTATGGTTACTTCAAATGTAAATATTCAAGTTTGTATTTGTATTTAAGAGTTCAAATTTTATTCTCAAACCATAACATTTTTATTTATCAAAAAATTTTGCAAACAAAAATAATACAATATGATTGTTATGCATTTGTGCTGAGTTTTCAACACATGTTTGATAGGAAAATCTCTTTGAGACAACCATAAAAGCTTAAACACAAACACAAAAGAGAAGCTAGACTCAACCAAATAAGTGAATAAATTATTACTCTGATAGTTGAGAGGAAACACCAGGTGGTATGTGGCATTTACGGAAACATTTCTCTTTGCAGTGTTTTTCAGTTTTAAGGCTTAGTCCGCACTCGAACATGCACTTGTCTATGCATGAAAGTCCTTCAACTTCTGTTACCATGGCCGCCATTACTATTGCCACCACACTCATTAAAACAATGCATTTCTTCATACCCATCTCTCTTAAGTTTTTTGTGTGTATAAAATATTATATACGTATATACATATATATATGTTCATTAAGAAGCTTCAATTGGGTAATGCGTTTAATAAAAAATCTTAAAAAGTGTTCCCAATCTGAGATCATTTAATTTTTTTATAAATTTATTTTGGGTTATAAAGTTAATAGTAATTTAAGGGGTTTTTAAAGTGTTTGGTGACATTTAGTGTAATCCCTAAATATTTACAGACTTAAAACAATATGGCAATGGCTTTCAGATATTTTAAGTAAATTTTAATTTTGTTTTATTCTTACAATAATTTTTGATATAAATATATCTTAATTTTATTTTATATATAGAAAGAGATGCGAAGTGTTTAAATAAATTTGTATTATGTTTTGGAAATAAATTCTATTTAGATTTGAAATTATTGTTATCCTTCATTTAAATTCTAAAAATTATTTTATAAAAGTGATAAAAACAAATCAGTAGAATTGGAAAGAAAAAAAGAATTATTGTATTTTAGCAATAATATTATTGGTACGAGTGTAGAAAAAACACTATGTGGGGGATAACAACGTAATAGAGGAGTCTCAACATATCGCTAGTGTGGAGGAGACCATTCCGGTGTCTGAAATCGAGGGCAATATTCACTCTGGTGAAATCAGTGAGAATACACTTGAGGATGATCTAGAGGATCATGAGTTATCTGAGGAAACAAACGAGGAGACAAAGGTCATAAGAGACAAAGGGAAGGCACATAAGACAGGTTTTCAGCAGAAACGACCATCTAGACTCACGGTGGGAGGACACATACCAAATGTTAAACAGCGGTTCGTTCATGCTCTAATCAAGTGGAACACAGGAAGCCGGTCAAAACTGGGATTGGGGATACAGAGGCATCGTAAATTTTAATTAACGTGGATGTTAAGTTGGAATTGTCAGGGTTTGGGTAACCCATACACAATAAGCTATTTGCTGGAGGTTTGGAAGAAATTTAAACCAGAGTTTCATTTCTTTCAGAAACCAACAATTGTTTTTCTTTTACTCAGCAACTTCAGTTTCATTTTGGATATAATAAATTGTACACGGTTGAACTGTGCGGCTCTAGTGATGGTCTAGCTTTATTTTATAATTAATGACTTTGACCAGTAAATGGATGATTGATATTGAGGCAATATATGAAGGTAAAAGTATTTGTTTAACTTTTGTCTACGGTAATCCAATTTATAAATATAGAAATCAAGCCTGGAAAGGTCTAACGAGAATATGGATGTTTAAGACGGAACCATGGTTTTTAATTGAAGATTTTAACGAAATTACGAAAAACTACAAGAAACAAGGAGGAAACTTACGGCAGCCATCCACATTCATTGATTTAATTGTGATGATAAGTAATTGTGTATTATTAGACTTTCAAAATAGAGGGAATAAATTATCATGGCAAGACGAAGCGATAAAATAGTATGGTGTAGATTAGACATGGTTTTAACGGAAGATTGGCATGATTTATTTTCACATTCATATGTAAAATATCTTTGCTTGATAAGGTCGGATCATAGACCAACTGTGACTACAATACAATCAAAACAATATAAACGGTAACGACAATTTAGGTTTGATAAGCGGTGGATTGGAAGAGAGGGTTTAATGGAACCAATTGACTCGGGGTGACAGCAGGTCAATGGACGAGAGGGCCAAACGGTATTATACATAATTATAAGTTGGCGCCATGAAATCTCTAAATGGCGGAAAGGAAATAGACCATATGGGAATGACAAACTTGAAGAACTTTAAAGGACACTAGAAGAGTTTCAAAATGATGATTCACGAATGCATAGGCAATTGTTAGCTATAACACATGAATTAAAGAAAGCATATAAGGATGAACAGGCTCATTAGCAACAGAAGAGTCAGGATCTATGGAACAGAAGTGAAGACCTTAAGACAAAGTTCTATCATGCAGTTGCAAAACAAAGACAGACTATTAACAGATTAGTGGGGTTATACAATAATGACGGGGATTGGATGGCTGGAGAGAAAAATATAAAAAGGTGGTGGTTAACTACTTCGATGAATTATGTGCCACTTCCTCTCCTATATCCTTCGAAGATGCTTTAGAGGAGGTTAAAAGGGAGGTGACCGACGAAGACAATGTGGAATTAACAAAACCGCTGTCAGAAGACGAAGTTAAAATGGCTTTATTTATGATGCATCCGGAAAAAGTCCCTGAGCCAGATGGAATGACGGTGATTTTTTATCAACAAACCTGGCACATAATCAAAAATGAGGTGGTACAAATGCTGAACAATTTTCTGATCACGGTTGAGTTTGATCGGCGACTAAACATGACACATATATGTTTTATTCTGAAAACAGAACGGCCAACAAAGATGACAGAGCTGCAACTGATAAGTCTTTGTAATGTGGGTTAAAAAATTACTTCAAAGATCCTTTGTCAACGGTTGAGACAACTACTTTCATCGCAGGTCGATTAATTTCAGATAATATTCTGATTTCTGAGGAGATGTTTCATGGTCTACGAACCAATAATTGTGCAAAAGCAAATTTATAGCAGTCAAAACAGACATGAATAAAGCATAGGATTGGGTTGAATGGGTATTCATAGAGCATCTACTCAGGAAAATGGGTTTCGGGAAAAATAGATTACATGGATGACGGGAGTGTACAATCAGTACAATATAAGATGCTTATAAATGGACAGACCAGGGGACAAATAACCCCGAAACGGGGTCTAAGACAGGGGGATCCTCTATCCACATATCTATTTATCCTCTGCTCTGAAGTATTAACAGCTAATTTGAAAAAGGCAGAGAAAATAAATTTGATTACGGGGATAAAGGTGGCACAGGGTGCCCAGTGGTCACTGATATCTCTCATATTTGAATTATTTAGGTTTGCATTCAGTTCATATTTTAGTCTCCTTTTTTATGTTTTCCTTTACTTTTGTCCCATTTTCCTTTGTTTTTAGACTTAGGTTACATTTAGGTTTTAGTTTGCATTTTCTTTGCATAAGGGATGTTTTTAGGTACCTAAGGCGCCATTAAAGGCAAGGAGGAAGCATGGGAATGATTCAGGGAGTTGCCCCAGTCAAGGAGGATCAAAAGGAGCTAAGGAAGTGGAATTTTGGCCCACCATCGAGCTTGATGGAGTCCACATCGCGCGATGTAATGCACCCGAAGAGAAAGGAGTTCACATCATGCATATCGAGCAAGCCGGCTCGATGAAAGCCATATGATACTCACACCGCGCCCTTGCATCGCACGACATAAGAGGGCATGGGCAACCAAGATTAACATCGTGTTAGTCTGCTCGATGTCAAGCATCCGAGGGAGCAACATGAAGCACTCACATCGAGCTCCTAGCTCGATATCAACCTTATCCAAGCTGAACTTATTTACAAGAATGTCATCGCTTTAGGGTTTTTGTCATTTACTATAAATACTTTTTACCCTAAGGTTTTTAGGAAGTCTTGTTCTTGATTTTATCCATTTTTCTCTCTTAATCAATTTTGTTTGTAAGAACAAGATCCAACCTTTTTATTTGAAATTCTACATTTATCTTTCTTAATCTCTCTTCTTAATCATGTTTAACATTTTTTTCCTTTATGATTTGATGGTTTACATAATGATTAGTGAGTAGTTTTCTTATATGTTCTTAGATGTGGTAGATTAGGGGAATTTAAGGTTTGATTAGGGTTTGTTAGTGATTAATATTGATTGATTCCTATCTACTAGTCTGTGTTTAGGCTAGATTTGTATTGATGAATCTAGAATTAGGCTCTCTCTTATGCCGACCAAGTGTTTGATGAAATGTTGATGTTGTCTTTTAGAGGATTTACTTGTCTTAGCTGAAGAGATTGACTGTCTAAGAAGTATTTTGGCTTAAATAGAGTTGGTTTAGCTTGCTTGCTATTTATCTTAACACTAATGAGAGTTAGTTCTTGTTAGGATGTTTAGCAAAGTGTTATTTTCCAAGAGATTGGAACTTACTTGATTGTGAACTCTATGCTTAGGAATTAGCATTGCTTGCTTATTTGCATTGTCAACGAGCTTGATAACAACCTAGTTTTGCTTTTGAATTCCCAAAACACAATAACAACATCTAGGAGCCTTGCTTTTATTTTGTTAAATTTCGAGTTTGCTTGCATTCTATTTTATTTGCTCTTTTTTCTTGCTTGATCATTGCTGAGTATTTCTTTCACTAGTCTTGCTTAATCTATGGTTCACGGTTGTTTAGTTCAGTAGTTTAATCATTCTCTTCTTTGTTTCAACGTGACTTAAATCTTTCTACTGCATTCCTAATGTATCTATCTTGACCCTATGGATTTGATAAAACTTTTGCTATACTACAATGATTAGTACAAGCTTGGGTAATTGAGAAAATACCTAAAAACTCTTGTATCAATTTGGCGTTGTTGCCATTAGGGTCATTGTTTGGATCATTAGGATTTGTAGAAACTCTAAGATCAAGCTTTTTATTTGAATTTGGTTACTAATCATCTTTAACTCTCATTTCTCTCTTCATGTGTATGAACTTAAGATCAAGTGGCTCTAGCAACTTGGTTGACTTTATAGACAATATTAACTTGTTGGACAGAGGTCAAGGAGCAAGAAGAATAAAGGAGAGGTTACAGCACTTTGATAGGTTAGGGATGAATATTCAGGATCAAGGTGTGGATGATGTGAGGTATCAAGGACCTCAAGGAGCTGCAGGGATTCAGGGCTAACAGGGCCAACAAGGAGTCTAAGGGATGCAAGGAGAGCACGGTCAAAGAGGACCTGCACATGCACCACGCCCCATGATACTCATTGTTGAAGGAGATGCACCTAATGCCTACAACAACAGAAATGACATCATTCCTCCACCAGTCCCAAAAAACAACTTTGAGATAAAGTCTGGTTTGATCTCAATGGTGCAGAACAACAAGTTTCATGGTCTTTCACTAGAGGATCCCCTAGACCATTTGGATAACTTTGACAGGCTTTGCAACATG